ATTTAGTCAATTATATCCGAATGTCCGTTGTACCCGAGTCCGTTGTAAACGAAGCTCAATTAATGGAAAAGATAGGGAGATCAGCATAACGCCGCGAATTGGTACGTAGTATCCGAATGTCCGTTGTACCCGAGTCCGTTGTAACGAGGTTAATACTGTATGCTAATTTGACTGCCTTGAAGGAGTCCCCATTCAAAGGCTTTGTAACTAGGTTCTGTGAAGGAATGACAATGTGCTTTAGGCTTCCAGTGGTGAGAAACTTGCGGCAACCTGCTCGAATTGGAAATTGCTGTGCCATACTGCTCCAAAAGCATCTTTTTGTCTAATTTGCACCATTGCTGTGCCACAAGGTAGTTTTGGAACCGAAAGTTATGTTGACAGCACGCATCATGAGCGGATATTACGGGATGGTCGCCATCTTGTACATTTGCGCTGCTGCATTTGCGTACTTTTGCTCTACCGCTAAAGTACGGGATCGGCCGATTAATCATTTCGACATCCACGTGGTTGCGGCGTTGCCTTTTCTGGTATCCATTCGCAAAGACAGAAAGCAATGTGGTGACTACCTAAAGACATGCCAGTATGACTTATCGTTGACAAAAAGACCTACGTGTGTGGTGTAGGGCCGCTTTAAGCCCCCTGCACGCTTTTAATAACCGGCGACTACCTGAGAGCGCTGAGGCGCCAATCGCTGCCACCTCAATCGTTGTGCGGGACCGTGTTCAGTGTGCACCGCTCTGCCGAAATGAAAGCAGTTTGCTTTTGTGGAGTGTAGCATTGTGGATCGCGGGCACGGAGACGGCAAGCGTAACACGCTTTCATAAGGTGACCGCCCAAACGCACCTCCGTCTGCTGCCAGGAGCACTAGGGCATCGCTTGTAGAAATCTCGCATTGTCACGTTAACGCAACAGGCTTTTCGCCACATCTGTGCACGGTTTGAAGCTGAGTAGGCGCAAGTGGCTCGGCACAGGTGTATGCTAAGTAGACAAAGCGCTGCGCGCAACTAGCCAGTAGATGATCGGCTCCCTGCTACTGTACCGTGCCTCCTGGCCGCGCCTAAAACCAGCCCAAATACATTGACATGATTGGGGGAAGGGTGTGCAGTGACGAACCTTCGCCCCCCTTCCCCCAAGGGGGAATGCTGCACACGCTTATGTACTTGGTGGTTAATGCATACTACATTAGTGCGTGTTTAGCCACGTTCTGAGTAGGTTCTCAGCATCTATGTACATTTTAACTCCTGTCGTCAAGCTCAACGACACGTTCTTCGGCCTCTCGACAAGCTGGAGAAGCAACGATGGAGGTCGTTCTGCGGTTCTTTGGACCCAAGACAGCCTCTCTCTAAAATCTGGCGGATAGTACGAAGTCTACGATCTTCTCCACAACAAATTTGGCCATTTCATGCGGTGGCTCTACATCAGGGTCGGAGTGAATTAGAGGTAGCCAAGAACTACTGTCGCCTTGTCGTTTCCACCGCTCACACTGTGCCACAACCCAAACTTTTACCACCACTGTGCCCCCGTGTTTCGACGAACGCCTCGAAGTGTCTTTTACAACGCAGGAACTGGACGCTGCAATTTTACTTTCCCGACGCTCATCGGCACCCGGGCCGGACGGAATTACGTACGCTGCACTTTGCCATCTTGATACAGAAGCACGACAGATCCTGTTATCTTACAACACCTCCTGGGAGTTGGAAAATGTTCCAGATAAGTAGAAGTGCATCCGCATAATCGCATTGCTTAAACGGGGAAGTGCCCTAATGAGCTTTCATCTTACCGGCCGATCGCCTTAAGCAGCTGCGTTGGCAAAGTCATGGAAAGGATGGTATTGTCGAGATTAGAGTGGCTCTTAGAGAGCAATAATCGCTTTCCTGAGTTCATGAATGGCTTTAGGAGAGGCCGATCATCCATTGACGGGGTCATCAACTTGGTCTCCGATGTTGAACAGGAAAGATGTCTAGGGAGGTTAGTGGCTGCTGTTTTTCTTGACATTAAAGGCGCCTATGACAATGTCCTACATTATGCCATCCTTGATGCGCTTGAGGATCTAGAAATCGGCGGACGACTATATGCATTGATCGTGAGCTACCTTGGCGACCGTACCGTGTATATGTCAACAAGCGATGGAGATACAAACCATTACAACATTCACCGTGGTGTTCCCCAAGGGAGTGTTCTTAGTCCGACACTTTTTAACATCACCTTGATTGGACTTGCTACTAAACTTCCTGACACGGTGAAGGTGAGCACATATGCGGACGACATCTGCATCTGGGCTTCTGGAGCTACGCGCCCCCAACTGTGTGCTCGACTGCGACGTGCAGTGACCATCACAGCAAGGTACATACGTCGTCAGGGTCTCGCACTGTCAACTGAAAAATGCGCAGTGCTTGCATTTACACGAAAACAAATGACAAGATACCCACTAACTGTGAATGGAACAGAAATTCGTGCTGTTGCGCAACACAAATTCCTGGGTGTTATCCTCGACCGGAATCTATCGTGGTCAAAACACGTCACAGCCTTGAAGTCAAAGCTCAAGAGTTTTGTCCACGTTATTCGGGTTATGGCCGGAGCAAGATGGGGCCCTTCGGAGGCAGCTCTACTGCAACTGTACCTATCTTTATTCGTAGGGTACTTACGATACCAGCATGCCCGTGCTTTCAAGCATGAAGCCCAGTTGTGCGAGCAAACTAGAAAGAATCCAAGCTCAAGGGTTGCGCACATGTTTGGGCTTGCCTCAATGCACATCAACCAAGGGAACTCTCGCCGAAGCTCGGGCTTGTCCAAGCAAAGTATATGTGCTCTACGAGCCTCTTCGAGTCCACCTTCGCCTGTTTATTCGACACAGGCAACATCCCCTATCAGCGCTCCCTGCCAGCCACCGAGACTGCAGTTATTCAAGAGCTATATCACGGCTCGAGAACATCATACCGCCAAGATTCGCTCCCCCACGTATTCCTGAGACACCTCCGTAGCTCCTGCCTAGACCACTTGTCATACTTCAGTTTCCTGGGATTATGAAGAAGTCCCTTGTATCATCGATCGACCTAAAGCAACTTACACTGCTGCACATTTATACTATGTACGACGGTGTGGCGCACGTATCTACTGATGGATCTACCACATCGCGTACCTCCGTCGCAGCCTTTGTCATCCCGCAGATGAAGATAGCTCGACGTTTCAAGATAGATCACAAGACCACATCAACAGCCGCGGAACTTGTTGCTATTCGGGAGGCAATACGTTTCATGTCGACAGAACCCGCTCATAAATGGACGATACTGTGCGATGTTAAAGCTGCTCTTCAAATCATCGATGGCTTCATGAGACAAGGTCTATATCATACTTTATCGATTGAAATTGCAGAGCTTCTTGGCATTGCTACAAAAAATGGACGTCATGTAACATTTCAATGGATACTGCTCATTGTGGCATAATGCAACGAAGAGGCAGACGCTGAAGCTAAGAGAGCTTTAAATAGTGCCCCAGAAGTGTGCATCGCATTTTCTCGACAAGATACTAACATCCTACTTCGACGCGTAATGCGCTACTCCATCTTAGAGCACTGGCAGAAACCAGAACACCAGCACAAGCTGCTGCACAAATGGGACCCAGAAATGAAGTTCGGTGTTCCTCACAAGTTAAATCGAAGCATCTCATGCATTATCCACCGCATTGGCCTCGGTGTGGCTTACACGAGACGTTACACCCACTTGATTGGCTGTAATGACACAGGTCCCAATTGCGGTCACTGTCTGTTGCCAGAAAGGCTCGAACCTATATTTTGCCACTGTCCAGCATATGCAAGCAAACGTCAGCAACTGATATCTTCGATTGGCCAATATATTAGTCGACCATTAACCGATGAAGTTGTGTTAGGTCCTTGGCCTGACGCCGCAGCACACATGTGGTTATACGAGCCGACATCGCTTTCTTAGAAGCCACTGGACTGGATGCACGTCTGTAGAGTTACCCAGCCTAATAACATTTCATCTCTCTACATCACTCTTTCACTCCCCAGTCACCCTTCCCCAGCTTAAAGTAGCAGGCCAGAGCAAACTATAGCTCAGGCCGACCTCTCTATCTTTTTGTAAATAAATTCTCTCTCTCTCTCTCTCTCTCTCTCTCTCTCTCTCTCTCTCTCTCTCTTTTAACAAGGTTTTACTGTAACAAGCTTTGAATGTGTAGGTGTGGGTGTGTCCGTGTGCGCTTGCTATGAACTTCATTCTGTAGCTAGCTTGTTGATGCAATATCTCTCACTATCTTAGGTCACCGCTTCTGTACATAATCTGTTTTGTTTATTTTTTGTGGTTATATTGTGGGCTTGCTGCTTCTGTATAATTGACAATGTAAACTGAGAATATTAAATTAAATTAAAACTAAATTTTCTTCCTCTGTGTTTATCATGAAAAAGCCCATGTGTGCTCCAAACACAGAGGTAGCTGCTCCAAAAGCAGATTTTGCCTGCTCCAGTGGCTGCTCCAAAATGCTGGAAGGCATTCCCACCACTTGGCTCCTCATAGGCACAGCAATTCCACTCCTGCACCATAGTGTTCCTCATCGGATTTACTGCACCATCCTGATAATATCGATGTACATTGCTACAAACTCCACCAGAGTCACGTGTTTGACAGTGTCACCGCAATGGTACCTTGGCACCTGAAAGCATGTGCATTTGATCTTGGACCAGGGATCAAAGCCAAGGACCAAAGATAATTCTGTCAATATCACTCTGCTTGCGGTGCAGTGTTCATAAATAGTACTTTAAACTAGTGATATCATATATGTAGCACATGGGCCTTATTTGGCTTGCAGACCTGTTAGTTCAGCTGCACCTAGATGAAAATTCTTCTGCTCCAGAAATTGCTTCAAATTAGAAGTCCATGGTAGCATCACTTCAATTAGTATAAATATCCCTATTAAAATGGGTCTTTTAGCTCTTGAGTCATATTGGATACTACTGTGAATTATAAACATTGACTCTTGTGATGCAGGCTCTGGAAGCTCCCAAACTCGTGCTCAAACAACAGGGGCAGCAACAGTGACCACATCATCAGGCACAACTGGGACACGTGCATCCCCAGGACCGTTCAGAGGCCTAGCCCCTCTTAGCTTTCCATTGGGCACAGCTCTTGGGAGTGCATTGGGCAGCTCATTTGATCCTTGCCTTCCGTGCAATTCTTTCTGGACACACAGTCAGGGTGGCACAGCTTACCTGGTGGGCAGCGGAGGTACTCCCAGCCAAGGTGCACGGGCTGCACCACAGGGGTCTACGCAGGTAAAGTCTTCATGCTTGTTGTTGTCAGTGCCTGATTACCCTTAACTCCTTGAAACACTCTCTGCCTCTTACTGTAATAATCCTGACACTGTTTTTCATTAAGGCTAATGAACCATGCCCTGTAAACCATATTATAGCCACACTATAATGTGGACACAGCATTTTCTATTTTTTTTTCTTTTGCTGCAATGGATGCAGAAGTGAGTAAGGCCACCTCTTAACCGCTCATCATTGACCACTAATCACTGCATACTGCAATGTCTTTCAGCATTACTATGAAGTAGACTTCTGCGAATAGTGAATTTTAGGTATGAAGCGAATTGAAAGTGAATGGTGATTTGGTTCAAATAATTTCGTATCAGATTTGAATAGAATATATCGCATATTGTAAAGAAAAATGGGCACTTTGGTCATGATACAACTAACCTGCACAATATCTTTTTAAATTTGAAAGAAGGCCCGAGCAACTGTCATTTTTTTCGTGGTTCAAAAAAACTGGAAATGACTTTGAATAGGAGCAGGATTTTGTCGGTAAAATGCAAGTGATAACCTTTAAAGTATGTTAAGTTTTAAAATTTAGCTTAGAGCATATAAGCCGTTATACCAAGCTTTTAAACTTGGAAATTATAAATTGATATGAGGATAATATTGCTACGATACTGAGGGAACGTGTGGTAGACCGGCCATTCATTCTTAGAAGTGGGGCTTTGAGACTTTGCGGATTTCTCTTGGATAGGTGTTTTCACGGTGTAGCATCTTTCCACTGCAGTGAAACGGCTTATACAGGGAGGTTACATGCGGACTACAGTAGAATCTCGATGCTAATAATTCGAATGGAGCACGTTAAATATTCGTATGAACCAAAAACAACTTAAAGCTGATATTAATGATGAACAAGAAGTTTATTGGCAACTACTCCTTGCTGAAAAAAGTCTGTGATGCTTTTTTGAACTTTCCTGTCTTCACCGTCTCTTTATAAAGTGCCGCGGTTTCCTCACTCGTGCTGCTGGCATGGCGTGTTCACAATACACATCAGAGAGAAAGTGGACAAACTCATTGGAAATTGCCTCGCCTTGCTGAAAGTGGCTGGAAAACCGCGCCGCGAAGTTGACTTAAAAAAAATCGGTCCTGGAGAATTCACAGTGGAGAATTCATGTGAAAACGCCAGAGCAGCCAGAAAACCACGTCCGTGCCTGTCGAAAACGTTCACATTCGTTCTGCCCCTCGTACATGCCATCGCCGCTTGAGGATTCATTTCATTTTGCCCATTTCCAGAGCATTAAATTAGTCCTGGAGAGTGCACAGTGAAGAGTTCAAGCAAAAACTCGAGAGCGGCCAGAAAACCACGTCCGTGCCTGTCGATAACGTTCACATTTGTTCTGCCTTTTGTACATGCCACTGCTGCCGGAGCCATCGCTGCTTGAGGATTCATTATATTTTGCCCGCTTCCAGAGCATTAAAGGTCATACCGAGTTCTAGTTCTGCATGCAAAAGGCTGCAAAGAAACAGTTAATGTCTTCACAGTTGTTGTTTCGGAAGATACGCCAGCAGAAACGACACGAGTGGACGCACCAGCAGTGGCAGCAACGAGTTCAGCCTGCAATGCAAAAGCGAGACTTGTTAGGACATGCTTACTCGCTACTGCTGTGCTTTCTTCTACTTCCAGTGTTCTCAGCGATCATAGTGTAAACCACGTTCGATGAGCGCATTCTTCTCAAGGCCATGAGCTTTGACGTGCTGCAATGGGTAGTTCGCGATACACCGGTGCGATCCGCCACCGGCATATTTGCTGCCATGTTGAATTTTTGGCTGGTTGTTTAAATCGGGTTGTTTGAGCGCTAGGGCAGCTGGTGTAGCAAAAGCCGGGAAGCAAAAAGGCGATATGCTATCGCGTGGCATGAAAATCTGTCTCGGACCGATTTTTTTCGCCTTGGCCTCGCGGCGTGTTTTTCGCCTATTAAAGCAAAGAAAATCTGCCGCATTCAGTTCTTTCAAGACCAAGAGTGATCAAGCCTTCCTCCCACAGACAAGTAGAGTTGCATCACTTGCCTGCAGCGGTCAATCGCACATTTATTATCTGCAGATGCTGGGAAAACTGTTTGTGTAACACCGAATCACGGCGTATTTTATGTAATTTAATCCACCCAAAACAACCTTAAAATTCGTATGATCATGAAAGTCTCATCAATCGTAATCGCATCATCGAGATTTTAGTGTATTATACATCTATTCGTTCATTTTGGATACTTCAAAAGTTAAAATAAATTAAATTCTAATCGAAACAACTTCAAATACTGTAATATTTGTTCAAATATTTGTACAAGCCTACTATGTAGGAGCATATGATACTTGTTAGTTTGTTGTTTCACTTCTATTGCTTATCTTTACTTACAGGCACCACAACCTGGTAATCAGCATGATGATCAGCTACATCAGATGTTGAACGGTCTGATGACTGCGCTCGTACACCAGCCTCATGTTGTGCTTCAACGTGAGTTACTGAGACATTTATATAATGAAGAAAATTCTGCAGGGCTTCCCAAAATGTGCATCAAGTACAAAAGAAATGTAGATTTTGCTAGCTAAATTAAACCAACTTTGAACTGGTGGCTGTGGTATCCTAAGGTATAAATTAGTCCTGTTATAATAAAGTTGTAGTCATCACTTTAGTGGTTTTTGTCAATATAAGCATTGTGGAGCTACAGTGGACTCCTCTTAATGAAAACTCGTAGAGCAAAAAACTTTTTTCCAGAGAAGTTTCATAAAAAAGCCCCCAATGTCAATGAAATGTGGCTTTATCTCAAAAGCACCAACTGTGGCTGACTGAACTTATACTTATATCGTTGAACAATGCTTATATCGTTGATTAGACAGAAAAATGTTGCTGATATTGCTTACAGATATCTCTGTTTACAGCCGCACTTTCTCCAGAAACTATCTTAAAGACAAGACCATGCTGAATTTTAGAACTACTCAGACAGACATCGCTCACCCGCAAGTGCTAGATCCCCATGCGAGTAGCAATCTTTTTGGCCTTCCGTTCGAAATAGGGCCCCTGATCGGGAAGTTCGCACTGCACGCATGCTTGAATCTGAGAAAAAGAGCTTCTTCAATTTCTTCTGTACGCCACTGCATTCTGTCCATGGCGAAGTTCACAAGCTTTGCAGCTTCTTCAATCTTCCCTTTGTTCTTGAGTATCTTCAACAGTGTTTACTTGGGAATATTGAACTTTTTCACAATTTCTGTCTTCGGTAGGTCGTTGTGGTGAAGTTTTTGAATGATTTTTACTTTCGTTGTGAGCAAAAGCAAAAAGTGCATTGTATTGCCGTTTTTTTTTCTATCTCAAGTTCACGACTAGATGGAAACAAAAAAGATGACAAGAAAATGGGTCGTTCGCTGCTTGGCGTGCGCAAACATGTGCTATCTCTGGATTGGCTTGGCTAGGCTAGGCTAGCTTCGGCATTTGTTTTATGGTTGCTAGACTACTGTGGCCCCTCCGTGTTCATGGATTTTGCCCCTTTTTGTTTCATTTAATCGATTTAAGCAAAAAAAATGTTCCTATTACCCGAAACTTTTTATCATATATAAATATATAGGAGACCAACCATATGTGCTTAGATAGTTACGTTTATGCGGCTTTTCCATTTAAGCGAGTTTTGTTTAAAAGGAGTCCACTGTATCTCTAAGCTGATGTTTTTATTGTTTGTGAATTGTCAGCTCTTGCGCATTGCTTGCTTAGTCTTTCATTCAATTGAAATACATGCGTATTAGAAAGAAGCCCAGGTAACAGCTTAGATGCCTACCTGCGTGGAGTTATCCTCACACCTTGCACATGATGTGTTGCAGCCCCTGTTCTGCCAAGCTTTGTGATTTTATTGTAATATGCGAGAAGTGCAATTGCTTCAACTGTGCTAGGAGGTTCAGCCCCCTTTCCATTCCTCTGCTCTGTCCTCCACATGACTGTACGACCCGCATTTTGTGTGGTAATGGCTCCATGTGACTTGTCAGGTGAGGATGAGTGATCTCTCAAGTTTTATAGAATGGCACTGCACTGAAATTGTTTCTTTGCCACTACTATGTACTAGTCAAAGAACAGCATTGAGCGAAAATGCTAGCAGGGGCGTAGCCAGGGGGTAAAGTACCGGTCACCCCCCCCCCCCCCCCGAAATTTTTTTTTCCATGGCTTAGAAAGTGAAAAATGACAATTTCAAGGGCGTGCTTCTACCGAAATCAAAAAGGAGCCCCCCCCCCTCCCCTGAAAAATTTTCTGGCTACGCACTTGAGTGATAGTGATCAGTACCAAACAGAATGCAGGATTTTCATCGTGCATAAACATCCTGTAATCATCCAGGAGTAAAGAACAGCATTGAGCGAAAATGCTAGCAGGGGCGTAGCCAGGGGGTAAAACACTGTTCACTCCCCCCCCCCCCCCCCCGAAATTTTTTTTTTTTTTTCCATGGCTTAAAAAGTGAAAAATGACCATTTCAAGGGCGTGCCTCTCCCAAAATCAAGGAGGTGCCCCCTTGGATGATAGTGATCAATACCAAACAGAATGCAGGATTTTCATCGTGCATAAACATCCTGTAATCATCCAGGAGTCTGTGCACGATGAATATGCAAATCTCACGCAATCATCATATAGGGGAACTTCGATTATAAATCCTCCGGTTTTGCGACGACCTGCATTTTACGATTAATCGGTTTGGTCTCGGCGAAATTCTCATAGAAATAATGTATTAAAAACCTTGGCTATACGATGCAGTATTGCGCCAACCCCACATCTTGCGACTTTCAGATTACGTCTGAAAGAAAAAATAATCTTTACTCGAATCATACATTGACTCAATATTCACGAGTGCAAAATTTGAACTTGTGTTTCTATAGTTTGACAATAAAAAAAAGTACAAAGTGAGACGGGATGTTTCTTAGAACAGAACATTTATTCTTCTGGAAGTTCATCGCTTCTGTAAATGCCTTGATCATGTGCGTGGGTATTCGGGATCGTTACCCAATCAAACCCCATTCAGCCGGCCCAACAGCTGATATTTTCATGTTTTGGGTCTGTGAAAACATTTCCTGCTCGACATACAGCTGATCTGCGACATACAGCTGATCTGACTCTTAACACAGACTTCTGCATGGAATATATTCCTCTTAGTGACATCATCTTCTAAATGAGGCGACCTTCATTGTGGAAAATTGACAGGTGAACAGGACATGCTAAAGAAGAAAGCTGGGATAAGAGAAAAGCATGAACATTGACCATTTAAAGGGATGCTGAACAAAAATATGAAAAACTCGTGTAAACATGTAAACTCTGTGTGAAAGATGTGACTGTTTCGTTAAGCAGAGCTTATTCCACGTGTTTTTGAACAGTTGGCTGTACCTTTAGTGGAATGTCGGCGTACGGCGCCTGCAAGCGAGCAGGGGTTGTGACGTCGCAATCGTCGAGGCGCATGCAGGGTGCAGGTGTTCCTGTCCTCCTCTTCCCTTTCTCAACCTCTTCTTTCATTCCTCTCTCCCCTTTCCACAAAAGCACTGATGCTTTACCCCAGCCTGGTGCGTGGTTCGCTACTGGTGCTGTTTGGGGTGGTTCTGGGAACCATAGTGGAAGTTGAGTGGGCTGAGAAATGCAGGCAACGGCTGGAAATGCAGGCAACGGCTGGCATTGTTGGCATGCTTGTTTCTGGCCAGTGTAACACCACCTCCTTTTAGTTCATGGCCCAACCGCTAGACACAGAAGTTTGGCAAAACACAAATTAGTTTTTTTCCCCCTCAAGTTTTTGCCTAGAATGAAGGTTGTATATATCTATTTTGTCACCCAATATTTCAATTTGTTGCTGCTGGATAATTTTTAATAAGAACAGAAATAAATAACAGTATTTACTATTACAGTTACTGTGTAAAAGTAAGTGTTGCACATACAAGTTCCTCGAACCTAGAATGACTATTGAGTTACAAGTTACTGAAAAAAAGTTATTAGTTACTTCCCAAGACACACTTGTGCTCAATTGTGCAAGCTGCCTAGTGTCCTTCGCAACAATAATATTTAGGTTCACATTGAGCTAAAAATAATTTTCAAAATATTTAAAAAGCATGTCTGACTGGTTACCCAGGGTACATCTGTATATTTAAGATCTTTTTTGTTCCAAAACAAAAATTTCTTTGCCAATCCTTGGTACTCTGGTAGCAAACTACTTTTTTTCTGAATGTTATAAATGTAATCTGATGTATCTGGACAGACCTAATTGTACATACCTTATACCTAGTTACTCGTAATTGCAGTAATAAATTCAGTTGGCAGACTGTATGCTCTTAGCCTCTCAATACGGTAGGCTCGTGGTAATTCAAACTCTGATAATTCATACTTTCGGTTAATTCAAACAAACCTAAATTTTTAAAGACGATAGTCTTTCTTGGGGACCTTCGACGCAAAAATTTTAATGTCTGTCTGTCTGTACAAATGTCTGTTTTTCCACTCTTACCGGCATCGGGTACTTGAAACGGCCGACCCCATCCGCAGCGACCACCAATGTTGCTCAAGGTTGAGCGTTCATGCTTGTGCAATTGTCAATTAAAAAGCAATTACTGCGCATGTCTGGGGCACCATAACAACACGCATATATTCTGCATATGCATCTCTTACTAGAAAACGCATACCTATGTAATTTTAAAAACCGTAGCGCTTATCATGCTGCACTTACCATGCAACGCTTGCATGGAACGAAGAGTGTTTCCAACGCTTTGCTAAGACGAGATGGTGGTGGCACCTACCCGCGCCTTGCGTTCTACAGCTTATCACCCCTGAGATGGGCGCGCACAGCCACGCGCTTTGTTTTCCGAAAGAAACTGCCAGATGGTGCTCATGTCTCACGTGTGAAGTGACTTGATGCACTCGTTCGCCTCCGCTGCACGCTCGAGGCACTCTAACGCAGTGCCTCCGGAATACCATTCACCGATTTTCTTGCGCAGAACATAAAATAAATGTTTTGTTCACTCTCCCCACACGCAAGACTATAGTCTTTCGATGACCTTTGCAGATTACATGCAGATACGAGGCCAATTTTTTTGGGTGGCCCTTTATTCTTTCAATGTATTTAAAAGCCTCTTAATTCATACTGCACTATTCGGTTAATTCATATTTTGAGGTCCATATCAGAAAATATCAGCTGCTTTCCCTCTACTATTTAAAAAATTTGTGTGCTTAAATAATCCTAACTGTCTGAAAATGAAAAATAAGCACCTGAGGCCTTCAAAAAAAAAAAAAAGGCTTTGCAGGTGAACAAACGTTTGAAACGAAGCACACGCATGATAAGCCGCGTGGTAACTGGTATAAAGAGCTTTGTGCTGAAGCCGCATGCTTATAGCAATGAAGCAGTTGGCAATTCACAATTCATTTAAAAGGTCTGATCAGCAGTAAATGGCCAATAAACTTGTGGACTTTACACCTCTGCTTTCTGTTCACTGCGTGCAGTTAGGGCTCAAAGACACTTTAAATATTTTTAAATGTGATAAAATAAGTGCCTAATAATAATGTGTGGTGTCCCGACGTAGGAGATGCTCTCTACACCTGGCGTCTAGCCGAATGTCCTTCAGAGCCCCTTTTTGGGTAATAGTTTTACCACCACCTCAACCAGAGTCATCTATTTGAGAACTTTGATTATTCAAATTTTTTGATACTTCAAACGAAATTCAGAGGCCCCTCCTAGTTAGAATTAACGACAGTCAACTGTATATCGGTGTAGCAGGCAGCTCTGCCTGAAAGTCGAACCGTATGCATGCGATTTTCGAGTTGCAACAACAAACTTGCTTTGTCGCTCGGTCACGTCGCGACGGCTGCAACCACATTTCGGCGACAGTGTCATTGTTGCTAGAATGAAAACTGTCGCGTGCATGCCCATAAATTGGGAAAAGAAGTTTAAAAGTAGGTTGATGACAACATGCCAAATTTATTACTGTCTTGTGTGGCATGAAGAAGCCACAAAAGCGTTTCACGACCTTCTTTTTCATAATTTTGGTTTGACCGCAACAAAGTGCCCAGAAGCATACGTTATAACGGCTACAACGCACTTTGCATAACTATTTCATATTACAGGAAGGCTACCATAATTGTCACAAGCTATCATGAAAGATCAAAACAAACCATCGATAACCAGATTTACAGCAAAATACGGCGGCTGTCTCCCTCTCTCCGCGTGAGATGAGAATATAAAGAAGGTGGTCGATACATTGCATTCCTTGAAATACGTGCAAATAACAAGCATCGAGAGCAAATTTAACCAAAGCAAGGATTAAGGGTGCAGCCATGTTGTCGGAAATTGTCATGCTGGCTTTCGGGCGACAGTGATCTTTTTTTTTCCAGAAGTGCGCGACGTGACAAGCGATGGCTAAGAATGTGCTTCGGCGACAGCAAATCCTGTCACTCGAAAATCGTGTGCATGCAGTTGGGCCTAGGAAGATTCAGTGTTGCATCTCTCTTCAGGCAATGTAGTGTTTTCATTCTTTCCATCTGAGAATTATCTAGTGTGTGTTATATATATATATATATATATATATATATGTCTGTATATAATGTTGCTCAGTAGTAGTATAAAAGCAATAACATGTTGGAGTAGAAGTTTGTAGGTAGTAGGGCATACATTTTGGTTGTCTCGACAGGTCAGCACATGCACACAGGACAAGGCAGCAGCAGCGATGGTAATGGGAGTCGTCCGAGAGCAACTCTAGCAGGAATGATACCAGGCCGGAGCCGCCACATGTCCATGCGCCAGACTCCCCTAGTCTACAGGACCACTGGGCCTGCAACTGCAACTACTGCTAGTGCACCCGAAACAGCCACTGCAGAGGTACTGACTGTAGTGAGCTTTTTCGTATTGAAAACTTTCTTCATTAAATGTGCATTCTCTATGCTCAACCTATAGCAAACAAACAGGGAAAACAAAAATGTGATTAATCATGAGTATATTTCAGAAATGGCATGCTGCTTTTTTTTTATCATTTTCTCAGAACATTGGTGCATATAAAATTGGTGTAGAATTGTTGTTCAATGTCCAGTGACCACTACATAGATGATATGAATAATGGATGGAAATAGTCTGACGGTGTTCATAAAACTATCTTTTCAAAATTAAAAAGAGACAAGTTCAAAGGAAGATGGAGTCTTGAGGTGGGTAAAAATTGAACAGAGAATGTTGCTGGAGCTATTGTTTTTTGAAGAGGATTTGTCTTTATCAACACAGCAACTGCATTCCTTGGCAGCATGTTTATGCATGCTTTGCTCACTTTTTCATAACCACAAAAGTAGAGGTGGGGAAAAGAAAGCTTGTGTGAAAAAGAAGGGAAGGAGGAAGGAGACTATCGTGGTTGACATGCTAAATGGTTGTTTTGTGCTGTCTTATAGTAACAGAACAGAAAAAAAAATGTAGGTAAGAGGGAGAAGGTACCCAGGTGTATAAGGGTCTTCGCCACGCTGAAAAAGTGAGGTGGAAGGACTTGGACTGACCTGCAATTCTTCTGAAGTTAAAGAAAATCTAACCTAACTGGCCTTTGCCTGGGGTATATTTTCTTGCACATAACCCGCACCCCTAACTTTAAACTCCCCCCCCCCCCCCCCCCCCAAAAAAAGGAAAAAAAAAAATGGCATGTATAACCCACATGTTTAGCCAAGCCATGAGGCTTGCACGAAACTCGCGCAAGATGTTGATCTCGCGGGCCAGCCTCAGCGCTTCCATTTGTGCCATCTTCATTGACGCAGCGTGGCCGCAACTCGTCCGTTTCTCGATAAATTTGACAAGCTGCGTCTCAAAAAGCGGGCACGCACCAGTCTTTGGGCCACGAAATGCTCGCTTCTCCTTGCATGCACTTTTGAGAGAGGCTTTTTTTTTTTTCACCAGTCACCAATGCAGGACTCGTTGACGCCATGCCTCCTTAAAGCAGCTCTTTTGCAGATTTCTTCCGCAGCAACTATAATCTCGAGTTTTTCTTTCACTGTGAAAGATTGCCATCGAGACCTACTCATGGTGCCTCAGCAGACAAGGCTGATGAACGGTGCAAACTGGCCACACCTGACTCGGAGACAGACGTCAAATCGTTGTCACGCTGTTGACCAGATCGAAAAAGTATGCAAAAAGTAAATGAACATGCTACGGAAGGGATCTGCCTATGGCCTGTGTTGGCTTCTATTAGCTTTGCACCAGACCATGCCGAGGGTGATGTGGACTGCACAGCAGGCCATGCATTGCCGTTAAGCTGACCTCTGCTTCTGGATTATTCCCAGATAACCCGCACCCCCATTTTTTTTTTTTTTTTTTCAATTCTTGGTGTGGGTTATATGCGAGAAAATATGGTACCTTTCATATTTTTTTTACTGTATATTACACCTTTTTAATTATATAACACCGACCCAAATTTGGCACATCTCTATCACAAAAGTGCCCTTATCACCTTTCCTCCTTCGTACATGAGGGAAAAATGACCGAACCAAACTGAAACTTTTCTTGTTCATAATTGATTCATTTGGCAATGGCACAATACAAATGCATAGTGGTGACCTGTGACAATTTTAAAGGGATGTCATATAATCTGACTTACTGTTTATTAAAATTATTGCTGGACTCGGTGGTGCATAGTTCAGTACAGTCGATCCCACATATATCGGACTCAAAGGGGATCACAAAATACTCGATATAGCAGGAAGTCAAAATACGACATATTCGTATTGAATGCTTATAGTACTTCATTGCAAGTTTCTAAACTGCTTGCAGAAATTGTAATAAACATTAACACGACTATTTGCTCACTGCACTTTATTTCATGTGAAAATAGTCCGTAAACTTACCTTGCTTCTTGCTGTCGTTAAGGGGGGACATGGCACTTGAAAAAAAGTTTATTTCTTGATCAATTTTGATGAAAATTTGAGAGTGTATGTATATTTGTGTGATAATTTCCGATATGCAAATATGAAACACTGATGTCGTATGAATATGAAGCATGAATGAATCTAGCTGCACGATTTCGGATGGTTACAAGGAATTTCTAAGACCAACTTTAGGTGGGCTCCTGATGGGTGGTGCATAGTCCTGATGCATAGTGGTGCATAGCTCCTGATGGGTGGTGCACTTTGACCTGACTAATGATATATAAGCAAGTAGTTTTACATGACGCCGAGCGCTGCATAAATGGCGTTTTAAGAAGCCGAGAGTACTCTTAGCAGTTGAGCCCTCCGTTTACTTAGCTTTCATTAATTTGAACAAATTTTGGGGCCCCTTTGAGTTCGAATTATCGAGATTCGACTGTCGTTGAACCATGTAAACTGAAAAAAAAAAACAGTTTTATCAGTGAAGCGATCACTGCAATAGCTAAAATTTGGAATGTTGTAATTGCAATGCCGTACGCCCTCTTTTCTTTCTATTTTGTTACCGCACCATTACACGTGTAACACTGCCTTGTGCAAACCGCACCCAAATGACTGGAAACCATTTAGATAATCTGAGAACCTTCTGATAAGATTACACGATAAGATAACGCTGGAATCTTTAATGGCACAAGTAGAAATGCCGACGCACTTTGCTGCTTGGCAGATTATCGATGGCTGACTCTCTGGCTTGCTGCTATCAGTCTAAAGCATGTATTGCTTGTAGAGTGGCGTTTCCTTTTCTGGGCACAGGTTTGCCCAAATAAAAAGTGCACACATGAAAACAGCAGCTGCTGCTTTCGTCAACATCACAATCCCGCGATAACACGAACGCTGACAGCTAACTCTCTTGGATCTGACAACGCGACAATATACAAAAAGCTGGTGTAAAAGAACAAGTACAGCTGCTCCACGAAAAAATGCTCCAACACAATCTCCTCCTGTTAAGAGTGCAGGACGTAGAATGGCTTACGAGCCACAAGCGCGCCAGCTATCGCAACCACGCGCTTAATTAGAATCAGTTCTCTGCTGGCGCTTGAGTGACTCCCCCCCACCCCCCCACCCCCGCCTCTCCGTGTATTTTCATGCTTGTTCAAGACAGGCGGTGTGTTTCCTCTCTGCTTGAGCATTTGACGGCAGGGTCTAACATGCTGTGGTATGCTATTGTGTACATGCGCGCTTCGAGTTACGGAGATCGGCCGCCTCATTTAATCTCTGCTTTAGCAGCGCTCATCTTACCTGCTTGCTCAATTTTACGCGCGGATAGAATGTGCGAAGCACGGGGAATGTTACCAACTTGTAGTTTCTACGGGGACACATAGCGGCGGCGACCAGAACCTGTTTAGGGTCCATATTATTCCTATGTCAGCTTTGGCACTTCAATGGCTTGAATATAAGTTTGTCGCATTTATTTTTATAGAGCCCTGTTGGTTTAGTGTGAAGATAACTTTTGTATTAATCCATCTCTAGTCTTGAGTTGCAGTTCATGTTGGATGCAGTGTTTTAATCAATTTTGAACAATGCAGCATTCTAACATTAATTTTTTTCATTCGTCTGAGGTCTAGTAGCTGTCCAGAGCACCGGTTATGTTTTTTCTTTGAGTTTCTGTGTTTTCAGCTTTGATATTGTAAGGTTTAATATTGTCACGACGCAGACACAGCAGGAGTTCGATATAGAAGAGCTCACTTTAATTAAAAAATGAAAGGCGCTCGTAAAGAGGACCGGACAAGAGCTTCGTCTTCTTCTCTGGCTGTGCGAGCTCTCCTCTGCAGGTTGAATGCGGCATTTGCCTCCCTCCAGGAAGAGCATCGACCCGATGCTCGGCTACAGAATACGCGGTGTATGTAGTTGACGTATTACGCAACTGGCTCACTGAAATATGGCTTCATCCGCACAACGTGTACGATTTCAGATTTTTGAGCTCGCGAGGAACTGTCAGGGATGACCTCATAATTCACGTCACTTAGGCGCCGTATAACATTGTAGGGACCAAAGTACTTCTTCAATAACTTTTCACAAAGGCCGCGTCGGCGAATAGGGCTCCAGACCCACACTTTCTCGCCTGGTTGATAAGTGACGTATCGGTGTCGCAGGTTATAACGTTGTGCGTCATAACTCTGCTGTCGGGCGATTCGCACGCGTGCTAGCTGCCGTGCCTCTTCAGCTCGTTGGGTAAAGGCTTGAACATCCGTGTCTGTATCCTCGCAGTCGTGCAGCAGCATGGCATCAAGCATTGTCGTCACTTCACGGCCATAAAGAAGACTAAATGGCGTGCTCCGCGTAGTTTCCTGCTGCGCCGTATTATAAGCAAACGTCACGTATGGTAGAACGTCGTCCCAATTTTTGTGATCCACGTCGATGTACATACTAAGCATATCAGCAATTGTCTTGTTGAGGCGTTCTGTTAAGCCGTTGGTTTGTGGTTGGTAGGAGGTAGTTTTTCGATGCGCTGTTCCACTCAACTCAAGCACTGACTTGAGGAGCATGGCCGTGAAAGCGGTACCTCTGTCTGTTATTATAATTCTAGGAGCACCATGCCTCAGAACGATATTTTCAATGAAAAATCGTGCCGCTTCTACTGCGGTTCCACTTGATAAAGCCTTTGTTTCTGCGTAGCGAGTAAGATAGTCCGTAGCGACAATTACCCACTTATTTCCAGTATGCGAAGTCGGAAATGGTCCAAGGAGATCCATTCCGATTTGTGCAAAAGGCATGGTGGGCACTTGAACTGGTTGCAACAATCCGGCTGGTTTTAAAGGTGGCGATTTTCGTCGTTGACAATCGAGACACGTGCGGACGTAATGCTTACAGTGCCTGGAAGCTTCGGCCAGTAGTACTTTTGTTGGATTCTGGCCAATGTGCGCGTGTATCCGAGGTGGCCGGAGGGTGGCTCATCGTGGCAAGCGCTCAGGATCTCATCGCGAATGGATGTCG